ACACACAACAGACTTTTGGAAGACAGACAGACAAAATTATGAATTATTATTCATAAACATCTCGAAATCACGGCTTAAAAAAAAATCCCTTCCTTCCAGATGATTGGATCTCCGTCTTCAACAACTTCAGCAAGTTCGGCCTCGGAGTCATAACAATTATCTTCGACTTAATGTTCTTCTTCCAACACTATTATTTCCATCTCCGTAAACCTTCTCTACTTCTTTGAAAATGTTGTAACAAATAGTTATTTCAGTTGTAGTTTGTCGTTTTTTTTTCACTTAATGTTGTTACATCTACAATACCAGTCAGCTAGAGCGATAAATCTTCCCAAAGTTAGATTTATTTTGGCGGCTCAAAGATGGTCAAATATGCTTGCCGGTGCTTGATTTTTTGTGTGTGTGTGTGTGTGTGTGTGTGTGTGTGTGTGTGAGAGAGAGAGAGAGAGAGAGAGAGAGGAGAGAGAGAGAGAGAGAGAGAGAGAGAGAGAGAGAGAGAGAGAGAGAGAGAGAGAGAGAGAGAGAGAGAGAGAGCACGTCCTCTCCCCATATATTTTTAGACTGCAAATTCTAGACTTATCCTATCATTACGGTCATGCCTGTATTACCCGTGCCAAAAAAAAAAAAAAATAGTTTAAAGGCAACCAGCTTGCGAGACTGACCATGACTCGATTCAATATTGCATTGCCATCTATTTCAGTCATTACCGTTTATCCTATCAGCACTTACCATTTACGCTGAACATTTTCCATCATCATTTTACATCATTACCATTGTTACTAACTGACAGTACGTGTATCTACTAGTTTTAGATATGTTAGAATTGTTTGGAGTGATTTGTTTTTTATAGTGTATTTTATATATGGTACTGTCTCTTTAATTTGTATATGATAAACGTATTAAAGATAAAACTACTCTACAGTTATTTATCACTTTGCCTCCTTTGTCTGTGTGCACCAATAAAGAATGAATAAATCACATATTTCCATGGCAACTCACATCAACAATAAAACAAAAAAATAATTGCTCATGAGCTCCGCCTTTAAAGATCTGGAAGAGCTCGTTAAGAACTTTAATCAATAGCAATTATTTGTCGGGGAAACATTTTTCTTTTTCTACACCTACATTACTACATTTTTAAGGTCTTCAAGAATAATAGCTAACAGATCACAATGCCCAAAAGACGAAAGATTTTACAATTATGATATATTTATAGATCAACTATTAACTAGCCTAAACAGTCAAAGAGTTGCCAGTTATTAAATAAAATATATTTTTTCTCGTGACACGAAGCGGCTGGTGTTTACATCTGTGAATCGTTCGCTTGTTTGGCTTTGGCTTCAAATCGAATAAACGTGGCTAATTTCTTCGAACATTTATAAAGATTCTTTAACACAGATAAAGATGCCGCTTTAAATTCATTCGCACATTGTTAAAATCAGATAATGGGTTCTAATAATCGTAAGATAACAAAGCGAAGATACACTGAAGACATGCCTCGGAGACTCGGGTCAAGCAAACTTCCTTGTGGCGTGAGGGTGCGAGTGCCAAGCGAGGTGCCAAGGGTTAGGACCTCACTGGGCATCCTTGTGACACAGTAGTGACGTGTCCGTGCCCTAGAAACGCTCAGACTGATACACTGGGGCCATGGCTCACGTGAGACTAAAATTGTGTAAGTAGAAATTCGTATTTTTTGGTAATTTTAGTATCTTGATTCAACCGCTGCGCTACGCACCTGGGTGTATGTCGCGAAAGAAACGTTTATTTAAATTAGATTAAATCTTTTGGTGAGAATAGAAGTTCCAGACAAGGTGTTGCTTCGTCTTCTTGGCAATAAGGTATTTTTTTCGAGTAAGTGTTTATTATCATTATCTTGTCTTTATACAGGACCAACCACAGTAATTTTCTAAACTTCTCTTTGGGTAAAATAGAGAAGGAAGGATAAGGTAAATAGGTAGAGAGTAGATAATCATGGCAAAAACTAAGCCATGTTAGTTTCTTAATGTCTTCATACTTGGTATTAAGTCATTCTGTGGCCTCGTACTCTGCACTTGTATAATGGTTAATAAGAAACTGGAGAGTTGGAGTTTACCTTCCCAACAATTTATCATCAAAGAAAGAGCGATCAGAAATACCATTGTGTTCTGAAACTTTGTTATACTGCGTTTGTACTAAGAGATAGTATTTGCTTTGGTATTTTTTAATTGAAGGCAAGAAAAATATCATTGCACCACAGAGATCGTCATTGTGCAGTACACATAGTACGAAAATGGAAATATTATATTTTGTACTATGGGTAGTGTGTTTACTGAATACGCCATACTTTTGTAGCTGTTTTGTGCAGCTGTTATCTAAAATGAACTTGTACATGGAATTGAAAGTACTGAAAAAGATGTATCATGTACTATGATTCTTCTGAAGAAATAAACAAATTTAGATATGTGCTCTTGGAATCTGTACCTGTTGTACGGCTGCCTTCAAGAAGTCACAAGGTCAGTAACCCTTTTAGTTTATTCTTATTAGCAGCTTATTTTATTCTTATTACCTTATATAGATGCATTACAAATATTCCCATCCCATTAATCTTGCAAACTACTTAGTTTTACCATGTAGGAAGTAAAGGTATTATTCATCTACGTAAGACAATATTTTATTGAAACATTAAAGTAACATTTCATGCATCATGTTTTTGTTTCTAAAGGATCCTCACGTGTGAATACCCATGCTATATGGATTTCAGAATGTCAGTATGAGAGTCATTTATAATGACAGAAGCTATATACAGTTGTTAGAAAATTTCCATATTTACCTTCATTGATTAACCACATGCACATTTGTGAATATCTTTGACATAAGTATACAATTTTCATTATATCATTTGATTTGAGTGGGCAAGTATCTTTCCTCACACTGTAAGAATAACTCTTTGACAGGTGTGGTATTACTTGGCATTTGCTGGTCATTACTACTGGTGTATGTAATGTCCTCCTTGAAATGGCAACCAGGAGATCTTAATGCTGCTCAGCACATACCACAAGCTGGTGAAAAGGCAAATATTCCCATGGCAAGAGCTGCAAAGAGTCAAGTATGTATATTTTTCTTTATCTTGAAAGAATATTGTGTGTTTGATATGATATCCCTATATGGAAGTAAAATATGTCATATCAAAATGTGAAAATGGGAGACTGAGAATATTGATAATGTACAGTAAATGAATGATATAGGTTATGGCTCTGATAATACAGTATTGTTTTGTTAGGAAAGGCTCTCAGCACTGATAAAGCTTTGAAGTGTTCTTTTTAAATTCTGGAATAAAAAGAATATCAACTAAAGGGTTTCTTATTTTGCAGATGTTGATCAAGGAGATATTAGATGCAATAAAAATTAAGTAATAATAAGACAAAAAGCATTAATACAACAACACTGAAAGACCTAGTTGTACCCGCTAAAAGGAATGAAACCAAAAAATCAGGTACGTTTTGTTGTTTTCATTATTTGAAATATTTTCCCCATTGTGTCAAACATTTTAGATTAGTTTATATTTCTTTTTTCTTCTTTCTCCTCTTTTTTTCCCTTTTTCATTTTTAATTCCATTTAGTTCTTCATTGTTGGTCCTTTATTAATAAAAGGATATGTATATGCATATAGACAGATAGATAGATATAGATATAGATATAGATATAGATATAGATACGATGAGAAGAAACAACAACAGAGGAAGACTAATAATTAGTGATGATAAATCCATTGCATGATATTTTTTATGGGATGTCATGTGTCAAGAAAATAAAATTGTAAATTGAGTTATATTAGTAGAATTACCTGTCTGAAGAAAATACAGTAGGTATATGTTAAAAGGGTATTGAGTAAATAGTTAGAGAGTAAAAGTTATAGTTGTATAGATTGTGCTGAATTTGAATTGTATTGACTAATAATTAGAGGCTGATTACTTGTATTAACTTTTTGCAAATTTACAGTTAATCTTTACACTTAGCTTTTTGACAACATATTTGTATTTGTGTGTTTTTAGATTTATTGTTATTTAAAATTTTGGAAGATGATGAAAATGATGATTTTATATTACACAGAAGATAGTTCTAACCCTTAGACACACTTAAAATTTAAGTGTAACTTTTCAATTACATTTGATCCATTCTTGAAATGTTGATGCATTTTGACTGTTTTTAGTTATTTTGATTGTATATGGATGGCTCAAGAAGAGCTTAGTCACCAAGGAGTCCATTACAAAACATACCAGATTCAATCAGTTTACCCTGTTCCTTCTTTCTTTTTTTTTTCTTTTTTTTTCCCGAAAGAAATGGTTTTATTTGTATTATTATGTGTTCTTAAAACCTTTTAAATTTAGGTAATGTCAGTAACGATGATAGTAATGTTAATTTTTCATTTTGATAATGTTAACTACTTTTTCTTTCAGAATCTGCAATTAATGTGGTGATCTCAGGGGACGAAGAGACCTTACTGGGTGTGATGGCAGTGATTAACAGCGTAGTTGCGAATACAAAATCTCCCGTCCACTTTTACATCACTCTGCCAAAAATTGTCATTCCGGACTTCAGGTATGTTTATTTTCATCTGTGAAGGGATCGTTTAAGAGTAACAGGGTACTCGTATATTTCTCATTGTATTCAGATAATATGGTTTGAGGATAGGCTGATATTTAATAGGGAAGTGAATTACACAATGTTAATACCTTTGCTGTGTGAGTTCAGACTATATGGTGCATTACTGTTGAAATTAATATATTCTCTTGAGACTATAAGCAAAACGTACACTTAGATCTATCTATATCTTTAGATATGCAAAAAGTTCAGAGTTTATCCTTCATATTGTAAACATAACAAAATTACTGTATGAAGCCCTTCCATTATTCTGTTCCTTTTTATTGTGTTCCATTACTGTTATATTATATTATTATTGTAGCTGTTATTTTTTATCTTATTCATTATCATCATCATTCATCATTTTTATTTTTTATTTTTGATTACTATTAGTAATACCTTTACTACTACTTGTTATTTTTGCTTTAGGAAATGGATAATGAAAACAAAACTCCACAAAATAAAGTACACCATCCGGCCGCATTCACCAGAAATGCCGAAGGGAAAGCCTCACTTCGCCAAGATCTATCTCTTCTCGATTTTTCCCGAACTGGAGGGCAAATTTGTGTACCTGGATTCTGATGTAATTGTACAAGGTGAGTGTGTGTTCTTGGGTGAATTACTCTCATAATATTGTACTATGATTTGAATTTTATTGTAATCGGTGGTGTATATTTATGTCTGTCCTTCTATCTCTCTATCTATATATCTATTTACCTTCCTGTGTATCTATCTTTCTATTTATCTATATCTATATAGCCTATCATTATATGTATCTTTCTCTATCTCTCTCTGTATTTTTATATCAATCTTTCAGTCCTTTTGTATATCTTTACCTCTATCTTTATATCTATCTCTAAAGCTGTCTGATAATTTCTACCTCTATCTGTCTACCTGTTTATCACTATCTCTCTATTTCTTCTATTTATCTATATATCTATGTATCTATCATCTTTATGTATCTATCATCTCTCTCTCTCTCTCTCTCTCTCTCTCTCTCTCTCTCTCTCTCTCTCTCTCTCTCTCTCTCTCTCTCTCTCTCTCTCTCTCTCTCTCTCTCTCCTCTCTCTCTCTCTCCTCTCTCTCTCTCTCTCTCTCTCTCTCCTTTCTCTCCCCCTCTCCCTCTCTCCTCCTCCTCCCTCTCCCTCCTCTCCCTCCCTCCCTCTCTCTCCTCCCTCTCTCCTCTCTCTCTCTCTTCTCTCTCTCTCCCTCTTCTCCTCTCCTCTCCTCTCTCCTCTCCCAGTATATGGTGTGAAATGAGAACGCATCTACCAGTACCTGATTTTATTAGGTATTACCAAGGAAGGGTGGATGAATTCCATTGATTTTGCTTGTAGTCAGTTCATCATTGCCAAAATGATAACAAATGTATCTCAGAGTATCATGTCCAAATTATTTTAAAAACCGACCTCTCTCTCTCTCCTCTGAAAGGTAACATTAAGGAGCTGAATAATGTTCCACTGGATGAGAATCACCTTGGTGCCTTCTCTGAGGATTGCACTTCCGTGTCCAAGCGCTTCAACATGGCAAAACCCCGCTACTCAACGCACATAAACCTCCAACATCCGAAACTTAAAGGAAACAAAATTAAACCTATGGCATGTACATTCAACACCAATGTGTTTGTAGCCAATATGACCAAATGGAAGGCAGAAAATGTTACCATGCAGTTGTTAGATTGGGTGATGAGTAGTAGCAGGAGGTTAGTATGCAATGAATAGTGGAATATATGTGCTGTATTTGGTACTCATAGCAAGAGTTGAGTTGTGTAATATTCAGTGATTTGGTGAAATGTATATTTTGCTTGTTTGGGCAATCTCCTAGATGATATTATTTAAACCTTGATATTATTAAATCTCAACTGATTTGTGAACTTATGTACAAATGTTCGAACATGTATTTTATTTTGATACTGGACTAAAAATAGCACCTTTCTCTTACAGACAACCTATCTACGGACAGGAACCTGAAACGGATGAAGCAGAAGCAGCAATGTTGATTGTTCTTTATCACAAGACGGTTCAGTTACCACACCTTTGGCATGTTGGTGACTTGGGTAAGACAGAATGATGACGTTGTTTGAATAATGCTCTTCAGAAATAGGTATTACCTTTGATTGTTTAATAAAGTATTATTTTGAATATTATTTCATAATACAAAATTTATATTGCAGGAGTTACAGCAGGAGCCAGTTACTCCAGGGACTTTATTGCCACAGCTAAATTGCTACACTGGAATGGCCACTTCAAGCCTTGGGCTCGAAGAGCTGCATTTATCGAGATGTGGATGAAATACTACATACCTGACCCAGACAAGAAATATAAGCCAATTCGGAAGTACTTGTAAAAATTTTAGTGCATTGTGGTTGATCTGATTTTAAGAAGAATCAGATATTATAAATCCATATAGGTTAAAAGGAAGCTGTTATCTGACTTGAAAGTTATTTTCTGATTACAATATCCTTATATTTTTTAGAATATATGGAGTGATATATATATATATATATATATATATAATATATATATATATATATATATATATTATATATATATATATATATATATATATATATATATATATATATAAATCTGGTGCAATATGTGAAAGGCAGCTTAGTTCGCAAGCTTGGAACGGGTTGTATTTATTAGCACACGTTTTAGTGGCCAGACTTAACCAGCTTGTGGGACACACTGAGTGAAATGTAGGTTGCAAAACTGATTAAATAGATTTCTTTGGTTTTGAGGTTACAAGATCATGGAAATGCTTGATCTCTTAGAATATTTTCCTCTCTTATTTTCTATAATTGGCATTACTTGTTTCATTTACTCATGTTAACTGTGATCTCCTCCATGTAGATTGGGATAAATTTACTGAAGGATATTCGCTTATTTTACAATGTAGCGTGACCTCCAGAAAGTTGATATAGTGGGCTTCGTGTTTTAGGATATTAATCATTATTTTTTTTGCGAGGGATTCAAAAATTACCTGGCCCTTATAAGCTTGAAATAGCAGGTATGTGTCAAGTGCCAATAGCATTGTTAGTGAGAAGGTACTTGGAGAATTTTTCATTCCATAAGGTCTTGAATTAATGTTCATTCATGAAAACAAATTTATCATATGAAAATAGGGCTAGTTACCAAGTTCAAAAAATATAGTTCATACTCTGGTTCAACTGAAGAAAAGAAATCATAGTGAAGGTCCTTATTTAAAATGTTTGTTAAATTCCATGTTATTCTCTCTATTATCAAGGTTCAAAACATCAGATCAAAAGCATCATTCCTTCGAGAGATAACAATGAATATGTCATATACACCCTTCTTGTGCAGTTTTGCAACAGATCAATTCCAGAATACCATTTAAAGATTATATATATAGGCCTAAGTGATTATTGCATTCTTTTATTGTTAGATGTAACCAAATCGTTATATGAAACATTAAAAGGATTCATTCCATTTTTTGTATGGAATTTGTAATATTACAACATTAAGATGGTAAGGAATATTGTTAATTTATTAATGAACAGTATTTATTTCTTTGTTATCAGTGATATTGTAAAATTAACAATGGAAGTTTTACACTTTTTGTAAGGGAAAATGCAGTAATGACCAAAAATATAATGAAATGTTAGAAACATGTCTAATATGCTTGCTTCTTAGGATATCCGTATCCTTGATTATGGTAAACATTCCGATTTTTAGACGGAATATATGTTAGTTGTCACAGATCTCTAACGAGCTTGATTAATTTGTTTCTTCTAAAAGCATACTTGGATTGCCAAAATTATATTGTGAAATATGGTGCTCAGAACCCACGTTGTATTAAATGCATATGTATATTTTTTGTTAAGATATTTGAATGTGATTATACATTAAGGCACAATTTTTCAATTGGTGTATCCAGTTGAAAGACTTACCAATAACGTTATAATCTATGATTTTTTCAGTTGTCTAGTCAATTCTAGATCTTGTTTAAAAATGAAACCTGAGAGTCTTAAAGGAAACTACATAAATATCTGTAAATATATTATACTTTGATTTTCTTAAACATTAACCATATATAAATATCATTGTTAAATAAAGGAATATATGAAGTAAAATGATAACTACTCTGTAGATTCATTTCAATTTAAGCATTTATCATGACTTGAAAACTGAAACAATTTCAAATTCTGTTTCAAAATTGAATATTATTTCCAGAGATTCAGATAGATTCATACTTTCAGCATCTTTTTTGAGTTCATACAATGTAAAGTTCGATTAAAATGACAAGAGAGGCATATTTAACTTTAAAAAATGGCATCAAGACTAGTGCATATTTAGAGATAAGATTTTGTATGACAAAAAAAGGTGAAGTGTTTGTGCAAGTCTATGGAAGATTTTTCTTGATTCTTCTATTTGTGATGGGTGCTAAAGGAAGCTTATTGGATATTTTTTATTTTTTCCAATGTGTTTTTATACTTTAATGTTTTTTTGTGGTATGTATGTTTTTTTCTTTTCTTTTCTTTTTGAAGGATGTCTGTTATCTGTAGAATTGTTTCTTTTTTATCTTCCTCTTTTTATGAATTTTTTCACATAAACTTGCATATGCTTAATAAAGTTATTTTGCATTTTTTTACATTGTTTTACTTAAAAAAACACTCCCACGTTGTAAACCGTGTTCTTATTTTCCTTGTTGTCTTAGTAGGACCTTTGCTAATCCAGATTTTTTCTTGTCTGGGAAGTACTTATCTGAAGAGTTCTTCCATTGTCTAGGTGTAAGTTCTTTTATTAAAATTTGATGAGTAACAGACTAATAGTAATTCACACAATCATTTAATGCCTCATTATGGCTACCAATGAACCATTGTTCATGTTAATTGTTGTGCCACATGAGCAATTGTCCCATAATTCTATTTTGTTTCTTAATCTACACAATTTTTGAGTGTCAGAAAATGTATTACATTACCTACCCCAGTTATTAATTTTTTTGGGCATTCGTGATATAGCTGAATTTTCATCAGGACCTCGTATTTGAATCTGATAAGCTTCGCAAACCCTAACCTTTCTCTACTAGAGAGAAGTAACTCTCCACCACCTGAGACAATAATACTATTTAACTATAAAATCATCAGAGTATATTTTAATCTCCTGATATTGTTTTGACTTTATTCATTATGGATTCAAGCAACCCTTTGTCGTCAGTGTAAGAACTAGCAACACCTTGTCTGGAGTGTACCTTGGTTTCATATTTGGGCTGTAGGCCTATAGTTCAACAAAAATCCATTTCTGATTTTTTACTAATTTTTTTATATCTATCTACTTTGTATTCTTTAGGACCTTTTGCTTATATTTCTCTACTTATTGCTATATATCTGCTGAAATATGAAATATTTAATGTATCAGCAG